GATCATGGCTGTGGTAGCTTATCACTCATCTGCTATTCCTAAGTGGGGCTTCTTCTGTTCCAGCACGTCAGCCCTTCCCACTCTCCACATAGCCAATAATCTTAACACTTGGAGCAAATGCTTTAACGCCTTGTCAGCCTACACTTCTAATCTGCTTTAATGGAATTTTGTTATAAATCTTCCTCTGTTACTTGCATTTTTGTATTCAAGAAGCAATTATAGTTCAATCCTTATGTTCTCTGCCTTCATCTCTCTCATTTGATATTCATTCCGCAAAATATTTGTTGGTAACATACTATCTGAGAGAAGCTGTTCTTAGCTGGAAGAGGCAGTGGTAAACTCTGAAAAACGAGATCTCTGCTCCCATAGAAACCACATTCTACTGGAACTAAATAGACCATAGATGCATACTCGTGTAGTCATGTGACATAGGACAATGTTTTGGTTAATAATGATGAATGAACAGCATGTATACCAGTAGTCAGGCAAGAGTGACATAGAGCAGAAAAGTTCCCATTGGCTAGTGGTGCTGTGGCCATTACAGCATCATAGCACATCTGTATGCATTTGCACATGTGGTGATGTGGTGATGCCGGTCTAAGCGAGCCTACTGTTCTTCCAGTTGTGGAAAAGCATAGCAGTATAATTATGTGCAGTGTGCAATACTTGGTGACAAACAGTTCTGTTACTGGCTCGTGTTTTCTTGTCCTACAGTTTTAATCACTGTTGTAGCATGGACACTTTGTACTTCTCTAACAAAAGTCTGCTGTGAGGCGGTCTGTTGTGTTTTGCTGGCAAAAGCTCATCCATCCTGTGTTTACAGTTTCTCTTGATGGCCATCAAGAGGCCACATGGAGTGAATGACTCGCACCGTCTAGGCTTTTATAAGTACTCCATGATGTTTACATGACGGTGAAACAGCCTAAGGATGGGCGCAGCTCTCAGGGCAGACCCCTGTTGTTAAGCAGTGTGATTGTCAGCAAGAAAATTTGAGAGAATGACCCACACTGTAAGGAGAGTAAAAGTTAAGGAGCTAGTGGTTCCTGTAAGTCTTGTAGATTTGGAGGTTGGTTTGGCCATGGTCATTATAAGCAGGTCAGATTTGAGCTTTGACCCTGGGAAGAAGGATGTTCCAGGCAGAGGGTACAGAAGATCAGCATTAATAAAAAACAGTATGCATTTAGAAGTAGAAGAATGACTTGAGCAGCTGATGAAAGCCTTGGGCAGGGGACACTAAGGACACGCTGCTGATGTAATGTAAGCATCCTTAGTTCTTTTCATCCTGCCTTCTTGTTCTTTTCCCAGACTGAAGATGAGGGTGTGAATGGACAGAGGGCATCAGGCATGAGACAGAAGCACTGAGTCTTAATGTGCTCTTTGTTGCTGGAGGGCGTCTCTCCAGGTTCCACCAAGCCCCGTAGTCCCACAATCCATGTATAAAATAATCACTCAGGCACTTATATTACTTATAAACTGTATGGCCATGGCAGGCTTCTTGCTAACTGTTCTTATATCTTAAATTAACCCATTTCTATAAATCTATACCTTGCCATGTGGCTCGTGGCTTACCGGTGTCTTTACATGCTGCTTGTCCTGGCCATAGCTGCAGGCGGTCCCCCTTCCTTCCTCCTTCCTCAATTCTCCTCTCTCTTTGTCCCGCCTATACTTCCTGCCTGGCCACTGGCCAATCAGTGCTTTATTTATAAAGAGCGATATCCACAGCAGCTCTTCCGTGACCACAGTGACGCCTCTCCCTTTCCTCCCTGCAGACACTGATGATCTTGATGTGCCAGGCACAGCCCTGAGCACCAGGGGCATACTGCTTTGCTCTGTCCTTACCCCTCTAGAGCTTGTAATCCAAGCTTTCCTCCTTTGCATTGCAAGTCAGTATGACCCATGTCCCATGTCCCCCTCCCCATTCTCCCAGATCCTTCACAGCCATGGGAGAAACACTGGACCCCCTTCTCTGGGCTCCCAACATGGCACCGCCTCCCCTTCACTGCCTCATCTCTTCCTGGTCACTGGTCAGGTTTCCCATCTGCCAAAGGCTATTCAGAAAGATTTTATTTTATTTAGTCTTTTAGTGGGGCAATCAGAAATGCATAAATTAATAAGATGATATGTGCTACAAAACAGAATTAGAAATCCTGCTGAGTTTCACAACATTAAAGATGTGCTAATCACGATTTCCCCAAACAAAGAGTACATTGGGTAGAACATGTTTGTGTGTTATAGACACAGAGGCAGTAACCTGATAAAAGTAAGCAGTGTCCTGCTTAGGGACAGGCTGTGCCGAGATGTTCATTTATTAGAGGGTTGTTTAGAAGATTACGTACTTTCCCATGGATTCAAATCTGTAACTTTAAATAGAAACCACGTGCGAAGCCACGGTTTACCTGATACGCTGCCCAAGTTGCCCCGCAGTATTATAAAACCCTGCCAAAAGCCACAGTATCTCCCCGCCCCCAGCTCTATTCCCTCAGAGGTTGTTCTAATTCATTGTCAGATCTCTTCTCTCTTCCCCAAGCCACCCTAATACCCACTGTACCCCCCCCCACACACACACACATAGTGTGACCACCTACATGAGATTGCTGTTTGCTGATGTGATTGGTTGCAGCTCTCATCTGTCACTCAACCATGGTTTCTGGGGCCTGAGGAATGAGACCGGAGTCTTCACCCAGGGTCTGAACACATGTGGCTTCTCTCTCAAATCCTAAGCACCCTTGTCTGTTGCCTTGCTCTTCCTGCTTCTCCGAAGTCTTCCTTCCTCTTCTCATCTGCCTGAAAATTGCCTCTCCTTTTCCAGCATTTACGGGAGGTGTTGTCGATCCCTTGTTACTCTTCCCATGGGAGGGAGTCCTTTATGTCTCCTGTGGTCCTTGTCAGTGTTCTGTGAACGCTTGTTTACCCGCTTCTCCAGCCGGCTGCTGAGCATCATGGTGTCAGAAATTACATCTTCCTCATTTGTGTCTCTAGGTACACTGGGGAGGTAGGCAGCCTGTGTTTGCACAGATAAGCGTGTTTGTGGCTGTGGCTCAGGGACCAGGCCTGGGAATGAGAAGGAGACTTCCTTCTGACATGGGGAGCTATGTGTGTATCTGAAGGGTGAAGACCTGAGGTGGGGGCTTTGGGCTTTGGTAATGGTAAGGCTTCAGAAGGGCAGATCTCTAAGTGGTTGTGTGTGTGTGCGTGTGTGTGTGTGTGTGTGTGTGTGTGTGTGTGTGTGTGTGTGTGTGTTTACAGGCTGTGTCCTAGGATTTGTGTTGGGGGCATTAAGGGAAATAAGCTTGCAAAGTCAAACCAAAGTCTCAAATGCCAGACTAAAGCATTTTACGACTCTCTGTACCATAGGGAACACCAAGTGTTACTTGAACCTGGAAATGACATAATCCTAAAGCTTCTCCGGTGGAGTTGACACAGTCCAAAGGTGCTTCTGGAGCACTAATTGGCCCATTGTGTCCGGGCTGATGTGGGAGAGAGGGCAGGCAGGAGGAGAGATTTGAGAATGACAGAGCTAGCCCTGGAATGAATTGGTAGGAAGGTAGCATGCAGAAGGGCCAGAAGGCTGTGAGCTGCAAAGTTCGCCCTGACTTTCAGGTCCTGCTAAACATCAGGCACATCTTGATGTTTCTTCTTAGTGGTCATAGCTTTGGGTTGCTCAGAGTTCTGCTGGGGTGAGTCTGATGCTATTGGACCTACAAAGGAATTGAGAGCAAAGAGTATTGAACTAATATTTGCAGCAGTGGAGGAAGCTGGACCCTCCCATCTGCCATAGGTGACCCTTCCTTCTGAGATAGAATGGAGATTTGATTTTTCTGCTGATGCTAACAAAGTGATGATTAGCATGGCTTCTCTACTCAAATTCGTCTTCTGAGCACGAGCTAAGCAGCCTAATTGAGTACAAAGTGTAGGTTTCAACCACTCAGAAGTGGAAAGCGGAAGCTGAGTGCTTCTTGGGGCTTCACCTTGTCAATTGTATAGCCTGAGTGACATATATACCAAATCTATACCCCAAGGCCCAATAGGGGCAACCTGATGTCCAGGGTTTGGAGTGGTATCCTTTACACATTACAAAATATATCCAAGACCTAATTGTTGGTGAATAGATTGTCATCAGTGATGATGGTGGTGGTGGTGGTATGTGCACATATATGTACGTAGAAGCCAGAGCATGACATTGGTTGTCTACCCCAAGCACACTCCATCTTATTTCTTTGGGACAAGGTCTGCCATTGAACCTGGAGTTGGTCTCCTAGTGTTTGGGTCACAGGCATACAGTGCTACCTACACCCATACCTCAGGATATGAACTCAGGCCTTAATGCCTGGGCAGGAATTTCACTCATTAAGCCATCTCCCCAGTCCCTTATTTTTTTTTTCTAGACAGACAGACAAACAAAGAAACATGCTTGAGAGAGGCATAGGCATCATGCTGGTTTACCATTTCCATTGAGCTATGAGGGACAGTATTGACACCCTTCCATCCTAAACCATTCTCTTGCTCTTCTTGTACCTTTGTTATACCAGGTTCATGTAAGAATATGTCCTGATAGGGTCTTTCCCAGGGACAACATACATCTTTGACTTGCTTTTCTGGCAGGGAGGTTTTTGGCACTTGATGCTCAAGCCTGTGTGGCCTGGGAGTAGAATGGATTGTTGTCCAATGGGGAGATCTTCACTAATAAAAGAACAGGAGCCACATGGCTAAGCACAGTTTTCTCTTTTGTGGCAATTTTATTGGGCATCTTGCACAAGAAGAGCCCAGTTTCCATGGTGGTGGCCAGCTCAATGTTATGCTCTTATATTGACGTCCCCAAGCTTATTGTTCAATCCTTCCAAAAATTAAACCACCAGTATGTGAGCTTGTGTCCCAGATTCTTCCTTGTGAGTTCTGGGGAACCAGGTTAATACAAAGACTAAGAGATCTGTCATTTTCCAAGAGTGCCATTATTATAAGTAGAGGATACAAAGACAGAGGGTAATGGAATGCATGTGCTGGATCCCATTGTCTTGCCTGTGCTTATGAATGTATATTCACAATGTGGGTAGAAGAATCTGAACAAAAAAAAATGTACTTTCCAGGTCTCCATGGACAACCCAATCCAACCAAGCTTAGGCACCATTCCTACCCTAGGCCTTACCATAGAGCCATCAGGTCAGCACGTTTAATGTATGACCAGACACAATGAAAAGGGTGAGACAGGGAGGCCATGGACTTTGGCTTGTAGCTCCCAGGATTATTTACAAGGCTAATTTTTGTTTTGATGTTTGTTCTCACTATTCAACTGACATATGGCACTGTTACAAAGTTGTTCTCAATAATGAGCTCAAGTGCACAGAAAAAGATCATTTGGGTTTTCTGGAACTTAGTTCATTTTTCTAATTGTCCCTTCTTTTTTTTCTTTTCTTTTCTCAGCATTCTTTTTCTTCTATTTCTCCTCCTCTCACCTTACCCACCTCCCCTGCTCACTCTCCTCCCCTCATCTCTTTTCTTCCTTCTCTTCATTTTTCCTTTTGAGACAGGGTCTCATTCTATAGTTCAGGTGGTCCCGGATCTTACTATGTAGCCCAGGTTGGCCTGGACTTTATGGTAGTCCTCCTGCCTCCGCCTCCTGAATGTTGGGATTATAAGCATGACCCACCCTGTCCAGCTTGAAAGTTCTACACTTAAGAGATCCAATTACTTCAACCATTCAAGGCCTCTCTACTCTCTGCCCCAGGACCATGTTGCTGTCTCCTGTTTTGCTAAACGTAGTATACAATGTTCATGGAACACGATGTCCTCGAAGGGTAAAGATTTTCCCTTTGGCTTGTGTAAGAGTGGGAAAAGCAGTGAACACCAGCCTCTCCAGTTCTTTTCCTGTTGCTCCCCAGGTGTACCTGAGTCCTGGGTTTTGACCAGTTGTCTATAGTAACAGGCCTGCTGTGGCCAGAACAAAACGGATTGCGGGAAGGTCAAGTGTAGTGAAGATGGATTGTCTAAGAGAACCTGTCTTCACTGAACCAAAGTGAGAGGTGAGAACAGCCCTGGACCATCAGCCTGAGCTTCAGTTTCACTAAGGATCAGGTTGAGAACGCACTAAGGGGCCTCATCCCACAGAAGCCACAGACTCAGAAACTCTGAGGGCAAGATTTAAAACAAAACAAGCAAGCAAGCAAACTAACAAAAGGCAACCCAAAACCCATATTTTGGTAAATGCTATAGTGAACATGAGGAGAAGTTGGAGGACTCTGTGGTTTGTATGGCTGGACCAATGACTTAGAGTTGGTTGCTCAATTGAATCATCTGGGGGAGTTTTTAAAATCCTGGCATTCAGTATTCAAGTGACACCCCAGAGCAATTGAACTGAAACCTCAGAAGGTGAGCACTAGATGGCAATTTAAAAAAATTATCATGTATGTGGGGTAGGGGTGCCACTGTATATGTGTGGAGAGTAAAGCATAACTTGTGGTATTGGTTTTATCTTTGTGTGGATTCTGGAAGTCCAACTCAGGTCTCCAGGGTTGTGAGGCAAATGTCTTCAGCCACCTAACTGCCCCCTTGATTTTTGTTAGTTTGTTTTTAAACTTCTCACATAATTTCAATGTGCTATAGAAATTGAAGATCCTTGGGCTCGTCCCTAGGCCCAGAGAGCATCCGTGACCTGAAACTATTTTTCCCTGATCCACCTTGCCCTCATCTCCTTCCCTCTTCTTCTCTCCAAAAGGAGGCAGCAGGCTGCTTCCAAGAGCTTAAAAACACTACTGCTCCAGACTCACACATTTCTTGTATATATCTGTTTGAATATGGATATGATTATTTCTTGTCCATTTCCCCCTTTTCCTGAAGCGTGGGTACCTAACTAGACTGTAGGCCACTCTGGACAATTTTCACCTGGCTTTGACCAAGCTCTTAGGAGCTGAGTAAGTACAGGAGGGCACTTGGGTTGGGAGTTCAGTGGCAAACTAGAGAATTCCAGAGAACTTGGAACTTCTCTGCAAGCACTTCCATCCGGGGTGGTCCTGGCAATTACTCTATCAAGTTGATTTTGACCCAGAAAAAAAAATCACTGTGTTATTTGGCCTTCTGAGTCCCTCTCTCTATTCTACAATGGATTATAGAAGACAAAACAAAGCAAGATAAAACCACACACACACACACACACACACACACACACACACACACACTCACACACACACTCACACAAAAGAGAACTTAAAAAGGTTTTTGTGTCTAAAACTGAAAATGTGTAGGTCCTGAGGGCATGCTGTGAAATAGTTCTGTCCTGGGCGGCTTTCAAAATCTCAGGCTGTTCGTGCAGGATGGGTTTTGACAGTGCCTTTTCCAGATCTGGCAAACCGGGCCCAGGGAGGGTTAACTGAGCCCCAAATCACACAGCAAATTAGCTGCAGGATCCATACTAGAAACCCAATCTTGTAACACCCACTTGGGGACCCCACCCGCCATGATCACGCTTCCTCTTATATTTAATATTCTTTTTGCCAACACAGGATTTATTCCATCCTCCCCTCCCCCAAGGTTTTTATTTTTATTAAGGAAATGTCTGTTTTATTTTTTAAGTGGCTGATAGCTCTCATCAATTAGGAAATTGAGATGGTTTTGAGGACACATTAAGTCATTTTTATAAAGGCTGGAAAATGAGTCCGTAAAAGTCTAATGCAGGGTATTGAGATGTCAGGAGTCACGGAAAGGAGAGGCTTGGTGGATAATCACAGAGCCTCTGATGCATGGCTCTGGAATTTTCCAGGATTTTTGGAGCGCTTTCATTGTTTATGTTTTATTGGTTGTATCAAAATTGACATGTAAAACCTAAATAGCCATATTTTTCCATTTGGGCCCATGACTCAGAACACTAAGGGTCTTTCTAGAGCCTTCTAACCATTTACCACACCTTAAATGGGAAAAAAGGTTCAAACTCCTTTTATTTACTTTTTCACATGTTTTATATTTTCTGGGCTTCTCGGTGGCAGCTGTAAAAAGGGTTTTTCATCTGCTCATTTAGTTCAGTAATTTGTCTAAACTGAGGCCGTTCCCCTCTTTTCTAATGCCTGCCCAGCTGTCACTGTTGCCTGCTAAAGTGATTTTTCTCTATTATGTTGTCACCTTACACTCCCAGAGGGTCCTGTCCTGCAGGCCTCACATGCATGGAACTTGCATTAAAGTCATTGGAAGCTTTAAGTTGTAAGAATGTGGGTTTGGGGCCCGGGGAAAGGGGTCTGACTAGTCTTGAAACACTGGGCTCAGGAGTAACGACCTGTACTGCGGCTAGGGGGCCGGATTCTGTCTTATCTCGCATCTCCCCAAGGACCTTACGGCTCTGATACGATCCGTGGCTGGAGGACTTCAGAGGTTGACTTTTCATCCATCCCAAGGGTGGTTTACTAGAGTATCATATTCCAAAGCATATTCCCTCTACGCTGATGGTGCCAGTCAAAGATGCTATCAGAAGCTGGAGAATAGGGGGAACATGAGGGAGCAAGGGACACATTGTATTAGGTTCAATGTTTGCTTTGTGTTTGGATCCAACACACATGAAGGAAGACTCCTGGCTTGGTCAGTGTGCGGAGGGCCTGGATTTTCCAGTTATGTGAATGTTTTCTCCCGATGACTTAGTTCTGTTTTGCTTACTTATGGCTTCAGGGTGTGTGTTTAATTGATCGCCTGTGAACAGATCAGGGCAAAGAGGTTCGTGGGCTTCAATATTCCACCCTTTGTCAATTCACTGGAATATCATTCTTTAGGAATCCAAAGTGCTACATCGTTCAGGTGCCCTCCCTGGGACCACTCTCAGACCTCAGAGTGAAGGCATAACAGGGTGTCCAGTTTCACCCGCCCAAGGCTGCCTGGGGACCTGGATGGCCAGTAACCCAAGTTTGGCTGAAACAGGAGGAAGACTTTTTTCATGGAGTGGGGTTCTCTGAGCCATGAGAACATGGGCTACCTTTCTATACAGGCTGAAATTGGGGCTGTGTTCCTTGTGATTTTTTAGGAGACTCTAAGTACACTCAGTGGGTCAGTTTAGGGCCCAGGCAATAGAGGAATACAGAATTCAGAATTCCTTCCAACTCCTCACAGATCTCAATGTAGCTGTTTCCAGGGGTCCCCACGTGGTAGAAGGTAGCTCAAGCGATGTGACCGAGTCAGGCAGAACCTTCATGTCAGTACTGACTCCACAGCCCAAGGTCTACACTTCCAGGAGGCTGGAAGAAATGCACAGAAGACTTGTGGAGAGATGTGGTGGTTTGAATAAGCATGGCTCCCATAGGTTCATAGATGTGAAAGCTTAGTCACCAGGGAGTGGCACTATTTGAAAGGATAGGGGGCGTGGTTCTGTTGGAGGAAGTGTGTCACTGGAGGTGGGCTTTGAGGTTTTCAAAAGCCCAAGCCTGCCAGGCCCAGTCTCTCTCTCTCTCTCTCTCTCTCTCTCTCTCTCTCTCTCTCTCTCTCTCTCTCTTCCTGCTGCCTGTGGGTCCAGTTGCAGAACTCTCAGCTACTTCTCCAGCACCATGTCTGCCTGCCTGCTGCCATGCTCCCCACCGTGAAGATAACAGATTAAACCTCCGAAACTGTAAGCCAGCCCCAGTTAACTGTTTTCCTTTGTAGGAATTGCTCTGGTTTTTGTGTCTCTTCACAGCCATAGAACCCTGACCAAGACGAGAGGTATTAGAGGGGACACCACATGGTTTTTATAAAATAAAAACTGAGGGATGCTTTAAAGAAAGACTGCCCTGCTGTGAGAAGCAATGAGGTCTTCGACTTTCAAATCTGGATGTTACCATGGCGTGATAGCATTTACTTACACTCAGACCCATTTTTGAGTAGGCTGCAGAAACAGGATTTCCCTGGCAGGAAGGGTGCAGCTGAAGAGAAAACCCAAAGGCCCAGGTATGGCTAAGGGCTACCCATTCCTCCTCTGACCCTCCACTTAAGCTGCTTTCCGAGGTCAGGTATGGTACAAGGCTGGGCTCCCATCTCTACATGCTCGCATTCTCCTAATTACTCTTCAAACCCTTCCCAGTGGCAAACTTGCCTTGTTGGTTAGATATTCAGAGCTATTGACCCTGAACTTGGTGCTCCCGAGGGATCTATACCAATATGGGGTTTGTTTACATGCTGGTTTACTGTAGACGTGTAGATGGAGACTTCTCAGGGACACCACAGGACACCAATACACTCAGGTCCGTGTGAGTTTTTTAGAGGGGGCACAGGATGATTTTTGGTCTAATTCATAAGAAAATAAGTATTGTGTGACAGAGAGTTTTAGTTTCTAAATCGGAAAAAAAAACCCAACAACAAAATGAAACAAACCCACAAATAAGTGGAACGCTTTTCATTTTGAAGTTTATTTCTTGGAGTAAGTCATTCCCACGGTGGATTTGTTTCACCCAGGTACCTCTCAAGATGGTATAAGGGTAAAATATTATATATATACATATATATACGTATATATGTATATGGTATATTTAAATATTATGTAATGTGTGTCTTTAGATATACTTATGTTAGCTGCATATGTAGCATGTAGGTGCATATTAAAACCTTGTACATTGGAACTGGAGAGATGGCTTGGTGGTTAAGAGCACTGGCTGCTCGTCCAGAGGACCCAGGCTTGATTCTGAGCACCCACATGGTGGCTCACAACCATCTGAGTCCAGTTCTAGGGGATCCTTCTGGCCCCCTTGGGCACCAAGTCCTTACTTGCATGGTATACAGATACACATGTATCTGTATACATACCCATAAAATAATAAACAACAAATTTTAAAACATCTTTTTTTAAATGTTGAAAAACTTTGAAGCATAGGTGTATTTGAGATTGTTATATTTTAAAGATTAATTTATTTTTATTTTCTGTGTTTGTATGTGTGCCTGAGTACATGTATGGGTGGTATGTGCACGCAGATGCCCACGAAGACCAGAAGAGGGTATTCGATCCCTGGAACTAGATTCATAGCAGGTTCTAAGCCACTTGATGTGTGTGCTGGGAACCAAACCCAGGTCCTCTGCAAGAGCAGCAAGTGCTTTTAACCTCTGAGCCATCTCTCCCACTCTGGGATTATTATTTTTGAATTAATGTGTTTCCTATCATCCTTGTTATAGGTTAGTTCTCCTGACACAGATTTCCAATGATGTTTACATTTTAAACAAGAACCACTAGGACGGAATAGCTCCGTTTGAATAGAATGTACCTTCTCATCCTGAGCAAAATGAAGGCAACAGCGGAAAAATCATCAAGTGTGTGCCGTTGTTTCCGACCGCAAGAGAAAAGAAGTCAGTCATCACCTGGAACAGAGATGGTGACCTTCACTTTTACTCTCTCTCTCCCTCTCCTTTTGTGACCGAGAAACAACAATAATAAATTCTCTTCCCTTGCCTATTTCGAGGCAGAGATTTGAAGTGTGTTTTATGACTTTAGCTTGTCCTGGGCCAATCCGCTCCGCTGGTAATGATGAATGAACCCTTGATGCCCATTAGCATAAGTGAACAGCGTTACTGCGCTAACTCTGATGGGGTCCTAATCAGTGCCGATTCTCCCTTTGGCTTTGCATTTTGGGGGTGCAGCCAGGTGCTCTCCCAGATGTGCAAGGGAGAGAAGGCCGCTCCCTCCCCCAACCTTCAGCTGCAGCAGACTGGTTCATGCCTGACTGAGAACCACTCAACTGTTTCCTGAGCCGTGCACCCTGCTGCATCTAATAAGGCCCCTCTCTCCAAGCCCTGCTCCGGGGAGGCAGACCCAAGTGTGTCCGGGGAGAATGCTCTGCAGAAGGCGTGGGTAGAAGAGGCTGAGACTTGCAGCCTGGCGTCTCTAAGACAGAGCAGATCTGCAGGCCAGGCAGGCATCGCAGACAAAGCTCTTGTAGGAACATTCCCCGGTTTAACCGTCCTTTTCCTACAGAGGGGGTCCTTGCACCACGTGCAGCTTAGCTCCTTTTCCGGGGCGGTGGGTGGGCTCGGGAGTGAGCGGGTTTGCAGGCATGCCTGTGTAGGTTGGGTGGAGAGAGCAAAAGAAACAAAGACTCCACATGCTAAAGCAGGAAGAGATTGGGATTACCCAAGGTCTGTAAAGCTCTGCAGGGCACCAAGTGGGAGTGGCAAGACAGCATCCAGAGCTCAGGATATCTGGGGTTTAATTGGGACAGAACTCCGGTGAATTCCGGTGTCTTCTGGGGATGACTTAACGTTTCCCTTTCTCGGAGTCCCTAGCTGTAGAAAGTTACGCTTCTCCTATAAACTTTCGACAACAGTTTGAAGCTCCAGAGGCAGCTTTCAGTCCGTGATTTACAAAACGTACCGCAACGCAGTGAGGTGAGCTGTGGTCTCTCTCAAAATGTAGGCTGCGGATCCTTGGGGGAGTAACTCTATGTCAGCATTTGCTTCGGGGTTCCTTTGAATGACCTCTCTGAAGGACTCCCAAGCTTCAGCACATATTCCCAAGGGAAGCCACCAAGATGTCCGTCCTTCCCAGGACTTTGTATCTATCAGTTTGTGAGTCATGCAAGACTGACCTTAGTGAGAGTCGGTCGTCATCCTGGACTGTCTGTCCACTCATGTCTATCTTCAGGCTGTTTCACTGGACCTTGGAGCATTCAGCTCCTCTTCTTGAGATCTGTGATTCCCTCTTCCCTTAGTTCTGAAGATCTCTCAGTATTTTCCTATAAGTCCTCCTTGTGGTGTAAAACAGTCCCAAATCCCAGGGGCAGAATGTCTAAGTTCTAGCTAGGACCCTGGGGACTTGGCTTGAGCCACAGAGGCTTTAGTTAAACTTTGGGCTTATTAGCAATCATGCCTCCTGCTTTGAACAAAAGATGGAGACCCAGTGGCATCTCTGTGGAAGTCCTTCCTAATGGAGTGTAGCTTTTCTGGGATTTGGAAAACTGTCAGGGAATTATGTGCACCACCTTCTTGTAGACTTGGGCAGGCAGAGTTGGAGGCTGAGATTTGCAAGTTCTGGAACCATTCACTGGCTCTACCTCATGGTTCTGCTGCTTTCTAGCTATGTGGTCTCTCTGAGGTCACTCTCGGCTTCAGTTTATTCTTATGTCAGACGGGAATTTGTAAGCATGCTTTCATGTGACATTATAAAGATTAAATAAGAAACATAATATGCTCAAATTGATCCTTAGCATATAGTAGATACTCAATAAGTATTGTCTATCTACCTATCATCCATCCATGTATCTATCTATCTATCTATCTATCTATCTATCTACCTACCTACTTACCTACCTACCTACCTACCTACCTATCTACTTTCTATCCATCCATCATCACTATCCTCTCAATTCTGGTACTGAATACCCTAAAATAATCACCAAGTCAGAAAACCCAGAAGAAACTTCTGAAGCTTGGTTGTCAGGAAAGTAAAAAGCCTTTTAATATACAATCAAAGAATGAACTGCCTTTTGCTGGTGGCCCACAGACGTGTACAAATGGCAGGCTTCTCGGCTGGAGGAAATATTTCTTCCTACTATTGACTCCAAACTAGACTTCCTTCCAATGAAAGATGCGTTTCCAGCCAAGGTATCTCCCGGTTGCTGGGGTAACAACTACAGCTGAGCGAATATAGCCAAGAACTGGAATTGTGTCACAGAACATTTGTATGTGTGTCTGTGTGTAAGCATTCATGTGCAAGTTCATGTGGTTGTGGCTGTGGGGTATCTTTCTTTATTATTGTTTTTTTGTTAGATATGGTCTCCACTGGCCTAGAACTCAATGAGTCGGCTAGGCTCTCCACGGTGTCCCACAGGTTCCTTGTGCTGGGATTACAGATGTGTGACACCAACCCTGGGATCATTTTAATACAGGTTCCAGGGCTCAAACAAAGCCATTCATGCTTGGAATGGAGGTGATTTAACAATGGAATGATTTCTCCAGTCCCTGCATGAAACCATTTTATATTATTAGACTCCATATTTTAGGTTCACAGCAACAATGAACATGTATTTCCCCTATATGCCTGACCCCACACAGGAAGCCTCCCCAGCTATAAGCACCCCATTCGAGTAGTATATTTGTATCAATCAATGGATATTATTATTATTACTATTACTATCAACTATTATCCCAAGTCCATAGTTTGCATTAAGGTTCACTCTAGGCACTGTACAACAATATATGTTTATGTAATACAGAGTAGTTGTGGCACTCTGGTCTCCTGAGGAGTTTCTTTCATTTGGTTTTTGTGGAACAGGCTTTGAACATAGGACTCTTCCATTTGTGAGAGAAGTGGCAGACGCCGATGGCTTTGGGACACCTTGGAGGGCATGGGGATTGATGACAGATGGCTTGTGTGCACCATGACATCTATGTAAAACATGTCTGCTCGCCCAGAGATGAAAAACTGCTCACCTTGGCACAACAGGCGTGATATTCATTTGGAGGCTCGAGTCTAAGAAAGATAAATCCCACTGTCACTGCACAAAGAGATAAGAAGGACCACATGACAGTTTTCCATTGATAAAAGATTCTGTCTGTATTTTAAAGGAATTTACTTTCTTCCCCTTTTCTGATACCCGCATGAGTTAAGGCACAGATACGCTATCTTTCATGTTTTTGTCAGGATGTGTTATTACGGAGGTGGCAGCGACTCAATTGCCTCATTTAGGGAGCTAAAGTGAGATGCAGACTATAGAGGAGCCAGGGCCTCCAGAGCTAAGAAGCTTCACCCGAAAGCATCCCTGGCCTAGAAGGAAACCAACAAGAACTCATCTGTAACGGGTTAGCTGCATGCTCAAATCTCCTTGGACATTAATCTTCCTTAATGGTTTTAGATTTTCACTGCTGACTAGGATGTTTTTGCAAACCCCACCCGGGAGACACCATATACCATAAGTAATATAAGGCAGGCAGCAATTCAATTAAGTGCCACACAGGTGATGTTGCCACAGAAAGGGTGAAAGAACCCAAGAGGATCAGAGTTCCAATTTACCAGCATCCTGACTGTGGGTATGGGGTGAAGGCAGAAGTCCTCTCCCTCTCCTGAGGTTGAGCCAGCCTCATCCTTTTAGAGCATCTTAAGCAAAGAAGCTTGTCAACTTCATCTGGCTTCACAGGTAGACTTGTCTGTGGGCAAGAGGATATACTGGCCACAAGAGGATATAGATAGCCAATAATGCGCTATGTATGTATGTATATATGTATGTATGTATGTATGTATCTATGTATCTATGTGTCTATCACCTATTTATTTATCTATCCCCTCTCTCTCTCTCTCTCTCTCTCTCTCTCTCTCTCTCTCTCTCTCTCTCATCTTATGTAGCCCAGGCTGGCCTCTGTAGCTGGAGGGCTTCTCTCCAGGTCCCACCAAGCATCCGCAGTCCTACAACCCATGTATAAAATAATCACTCAGACACTTATATTACTTATAAACTGTATGGCCGTGGCGGACTTCTTGTTATCTACTTCTTCTATCTTAAATTAACCCATTTCTATTAATCTATAAGTTGCCATGTGGCTCGTGGCTTACCGGTACCTTACATCTTGCTTGTCATGGAGGTGGCTGACAGGTCTCCCCGCCTCAGCCTTACACTTCCCCCAATTCTCTTCTCTTTGTCCCGCCTATACTTCCTGCCTGGCTACTGGCCAATCAGTGTTTTACTTATTACCCAATCAGAGCAACACACGTAACATACAGAACATCCCACAGCAGGCCTCCAATTCATGGCACAGTTGAGGACAACTTGAACTTCTGATCCTCCTGTCTCTGCTTCCCCAGTGCTGTGATTCGAGGCATGTGCCACCACGCCTGGTTTATACAGTGCTAGGGACCAAACCCAGGACTCTGTGTATAACAGATAAGAGCTCCATCAACTAAGCCACATCCTCAGCCTTTATTACTTTTATTTATTGACTATAAGTGAATCCTCACAACAAACTGAAGAAGTAAGAACACTTATTCACATTTTAAAGGTTCAGTAACCAAGGTCCCAATATGCCTCATGCCCGAGTGGGCTGTGTAAAAGATCAGCTCAGGACCTCTAAGACCAAGTTCTTAGCACAAGGGCAATTTATTTTCCCAGAGGGATAAAGGGCAGGGAATAAGAGACAAAGAGAGGAGATAGAGGACAAGGGAGAGGGGGAAGGGAACAAGGAAAAGGGGGGAGGGGTATTTGTTCTGGAGGGACAAAGGACTGCCTCTGGATAGAGGGGAGACAGATGTAGCTCATAGGCAAATGGCGGTTCATAAAGGTAAAAGGGGAAACCCCATTTAGGATGAGGAGTTTAATTTTAATTGGACATGTTAATTAGGTGAGGGCTTTTGATTGCTGGATTTCAATACCTGGGCCTTGGTAGTCAGCCTCAGGAGGAGGAAGTGGCCAAGTAAAGGAATGGACTTTGATGGCTAGCTTTAGGAATATAATCTAATGTTTTTTTTTTTTTTTTTTTAGCAAGGCAGAGGGAATGGGGGAGAATGGTGAGGTCTTCCAGAGCCATGTTTGCTGTGCTCGAGCTGGCCAGAGTCCCTACAGGTTGTCTGTAACGACCCTACAGTATATATGTTCCCTCCTACCTTGTCTTCTAGAATATTGCCATTACCCACGAAGGGGAAGAGTCTACTTTCCCTCTTCTTGAACCTGGGCAAGATTTCACGATTGCCTCCCTTCTCAGATGGACAATGAAGGTGGCACAGTGCCTATCACCCCAGCGTGGTGACCTTCCTTCTTGGAACCCAGCCATCAAGTTGTGAGGGATATTTCACAGAACAACATGAAGAGGAACCAAGTCTCCCAGCATCAACCACTGGACCTGTGAGTGAATAGGTCTTCAGAGGCTTCCAGCCTCCAGCCTGGCGTCTTCCGGGACAGTCGCTAGACACAGAGAAACTGAGACAAGCCACCCCTGTTATTCCTTCTGAGTCTCTGGACCACAGATGGCACAGGTCACTATTAGAAGGCATCCTTAGCTCACAAGTTTGGATTGATTTTCAATACAGATATAATAATTGCAGATGTAGTAATACTTTATCCTTGCATATCTTAGTTTTCTCATCTGAGAAATGGGAATAACACTATTCTGTTGGGTGGTTACCAAAATTTAATGTATTCAAATTAATCAGTGTCCTTCCTGTGAAACAGAATCTAATGTTTGATGAGCAGAGTATTGTCCTGTGGATTTTACATGTTATACCTTTGAGTCACTACAATAACCTAAAAATGTGTGTGTTACTTGAATACTTTTTATGGATATAAAATGGACATAGTATGAAATTAGCCACTTATAAAGGGAGCGATTCAGCCTTGCTTCACATCTTAGCAATGCTATGTAAGCACTGCTATTTAGGACCCAAACATTTCATCACTCAGGTAAGAAACATGGGCACTGCTTCTAAAGACACTTTATACATGAAGTTACACAACTTGACTGTTGTCGGACATAATACACTTGGATTCCAGGCTCTGTGCTTTTTGCTGTCGCTCTGCATTGCCTACAGTTCCTGAGAGCAATGGCTGGGTTGAAGTGACCTGCCTACAATCACACAGTTATGAAGTGGCAGGCCCCAGACAGCTCAGATTCCATAGCTTGTGCACTTTCTGCTGGGATACAACTTACACCGGCATCTTCCATCATGCTCCCCAAAGAGGTGGAGCTCCTAAGTAGTCAACCTTCAAAACCTGTGCTTGTCTCAACATATATTGCCCACTGTTGTAGAGTCCTACCCTCTGATCAACATAGCTGCCATCTTCCTTAGATTAGCTGTGTCTATTTTCAAGAGACCATCCTGATGGGCTTTGTTGACTGTTGGTATTCCCACATAGATGAGATTGTGTCCCCCAATATATTGTGAACCTTAATAAACTTATCTGGGATCAGAGAACAGAACAGCTGCTAGATAGACATAGAGGCCAGAAAATGGTGGCACACACGCCTTTAATCCTAGCATTCTGGGGCAGAGATCCATCCAGATCTCTGTAAGTTCAAAGCCACACTGGAAACAGCCAGGCATGGTGACACATGCCTTTAATCCCAGGAAGTGATGGCAAAAAGCAGAAAGGTATATAATGGTCTAGTGCATGAGGACCAGGCACTAGAGCCTGGTTAAACTTTTAGGCTTTTAGCAGCAGTTCACCTGAGATTCGTTATGGATGAGGACTCGGAGGCTTCCAGTCTGAGGAAACACGATCAGCTGAGGAACTGGCAAGGTGAGGTGGCTTGTTCTGCTTCTCTGATCTTCCAGCATTCACCCCAATACCTGGCCCTGGGTTTGTTTTTATTAGTAAGACCTTCTAACAATTCGTGCTACACATAGAAGGAATAGGGAGGGAGGGCCATTGGCCCCACACCTCAGGTTCCTGCTGCTCTTGCAAGGCTTTTCCATGCAATTCTGTCCTAACTGCTTGTGCTGGGAGGTGCTGGCGCATTCACCCTGAGAGGTTAATTGGAGAGGGACTCCATCCATGCAGCTGTAGGGAAGCTTCACCCCGTGAGGTGAAGAGCCTCCAGTGCTGCTGCCATTGGGTTGCCTGTGTTCCTGTACCAGCCCCTCAGCCATGCATGCTATGAAGGTAAGTCCAGTAAACCCATTGGTTCCCCGAGCTAACCTCTGTTTTGTTATTTCCTTATAAGCAATGCGGCAGATATTGTCCCCGGCCATAGGCAAAATGGCTCCATGGCAGAACAAAGCATAGTGAGCCTATGTTAGTTAGGGTTTCCATTGCTGTGGAGAGACACCATGACCACAGCAATCTTTGTTTTGTTTTTTTTTT